AAGAAATAAAGAGAAAGGAAAGAAAAGATAGATTTATGTCTAAATATCGATATAAAAATATCAAAAGAGAAAAAACAAGTGATATTTTTATTTGTTTTATGATATTCCTTTTATTTTTAAGTGCTCAATTCTCGACTCCGTACCCGTTCGCCGGAGCTCGTAAATCTGGTGTGCTACAGATTTAGAGACGTTTGTCGTTGTATCTTTGGGGAAGCTACGCCTGAACCGTTAGCTGCCACACGGGGCGTATTCTTTTTGCGGAAAGAGTTTTACTCGTCTCGGCTAAAATCTTTCCGTTTTTTCAGTTGTAATTTATTTTTCAGTTCAATTGTAATTTTAATTTATTTTCTTTTTTTTTTAGAATATTTGTAAGAACTGAAAAATACATATCAGTTCGTAGGATTCCCGTGTAATTTCACAAGAAATATCCAACAATCGCAAGAAGAATAATAGTCATCCTACTGAACTGATGGCATCCACCGGAGCAGGTTCCAGCTCTCAGCATCCGATCAATCATGTACCTGCTGTCCATGTTCCTACAGCTGAAAAGCCCGAAAAATTCAACGGGCTTGACTTTAAGAGATGGCAACAGAAGATGCATTTTTACCAGACCACTTTGGGTTTGGTGAAATACCTGAAGGACGACCCTCCGGTCATTTCTGAAAATGAGACAAATGCTGAACTACGCGCTGCGTATGATGCTTGGGGGCAAGGTGACTACCTTTGCCGGAACTATGTCCTGAATGGACTTAGTAACAAGTTGTACAATGTGTACAGCTCTGTTGGTTCTGCCAAGGAACTTTGGGCTGCCTTGGAGAAGAAGTACAAGACGGAGGATGCCAGGGCGAAGAAATTCGTCGTCGGCAAATTTCTCGACTTCAAGATGGTTGACACGAAGACTGTCGTGTCACAAGTGCAAGAGTTCCAACTGATCTTGCACGATATCCATTCTGAAGGGATGACTTTGAGCGAGTCATTCCAAGTAGCGGTTGTGATCGAGAAGCTGCCGCCAGGCTGGAAGGACTTCAAGAACTATCTCAAACACAAGAGAAAGGAGATGAGTCTTGAAGACCTGGTTGTTCGTCTTCGTATTGAGGAGGACAACCATAATTTGTCGGCAAAAGCCCGATAATGGAGGCTCGTGCAAACTTGCTGGAGCAAGGAAATTCGAGCAAAAGGAAGCCCCTTAACAAAGGGAAGCAGCCCGCCAAGGTTTGGAAATTCACTGGAACTTGCTACAACTGTGGAAAGCCAAACCATATGGCGAAAGACTGCAATAGGCCAAAGAAAGCTGGGCCAAATAAAGGGCAACCGAGTGCCCTTGTTGCTGAACACGACCCTGTGCCGGGTGAATTGACCGACTTTGATATGTCGGCTGTGGTGTTTGAAGCCAATTTGGTGGATAACCCAAGGGAGTGGTACATTGATACTGGTGCCACTCGTCATGTGTGTTCCGACAAGGAGGTGTTCTCTGAATACACTCCTGCTACGGGTCGGAAACTACATATGGGAAACTCCTCCACGTCTGATGTGGCTGGAGTGGGCACGGTGGTGCTGAAGCTCACTTCTGGAAGGGAGTTGAAGCTGAAGGATGTTATGCATGTCCCAGACATCCGCAAGAATTTGGTCTCTGGATCACTTCTTGTTGAGCATGGATTCAGGCTGGTGTTTGAAGCTAAGAAGTTTATTCTTAGCAAATATGGAAAATTCCTTGGTCTTGGTTATCTCGACAAGGGATTGTTCAAAATGAATGTAATGGCAGTGAGCCGTGTAATCGTTGGTAATAAAAAGCCTATTTCTGTTTATACTGTTGAGTACTCTAATTTATGGCATATTAGATTGAGACATGTAAATCTAAATGCAAGTAAGCAGTTGATGAAATTAGAATTAATTCCTAATTCTAAAGTTGAGACAAATACAAAATGTGAAATTTGTATTGAAGCAAAAATGGCTAAGTTACCTTTCCACTCGGTGGAAAGGAGTACTGAACCATTAGGCTTGATCCATACTGATGTATGTGATATGAAAAGTGTGCAAACAAGAACCGGTAAAAAGTATTTCGTAACTTTTATCGATGATTGCACAAGGTTTTGCTACTTATATCTGTTAAAAAGCAAAGATGAAGCTGTGGAAGCGTTTAAGATATATAAGACCGAAGTTGAAAATCAACTCGGCAAAAGGATTAAAATAATCCGAAGTGATAGGGGTGGGGAGTATGTATCTCCTTTTGAACAAAAATATGTTCTGAATATGGCATAATTCATCAAACGACAGCCCCCTATTCTCCACAGTCGAACGGTGTTGCTGAACGCAAAAACCGAACTTTAAGAGAAATGATGAATGCCATATTGATTAATTCAGGATTACCACAGAACATGTGGGGGGAAGCTGTTTTGACAGCAAATCATATCCTGAATAAAATACCACCTAAAGGGAAAAATGAGACTCCTTACGAAATGTGGAAAAATCGTAAGCCATCTTATAAATACCTGAAAGTGTGGGGGTGTTTGGCTAAGGTTTCAGTACCTGAACAAAACAAATGAGAATCGGGCCAAAGACGGTCGATTGTGTATTTATTGGATATGCGTACAATAGTACAACATATAGATTTCTGGTTCATAAATCAGAAAATCCAGAGGTATCTGTTGGTACCACGATTGAGTCAAGGAATGCTATATTCTTTTAGAATGTTTTTCCTATGAAGGAAAGGGCAGAATCTAGTTCTAATAAAAGAACGTATGAAACTGCTAGTGGTTCTGTACCAGAGGGTACTAATGAAGAACCGAGACGTAGTAAAAGAGTAAAAACGGCTAAAATGTTTGGACCTGATTTTATTACGTACATGTTGGACGATGAACCGAGTTCCCTTAAGGAAGCTCTGTCCAGCCCAGATGGACCACTCTGGGAAGAAGCTGTAAATAGCGAAATTGAGTCCATTATGCAAAATCATACTTGGGAGTTGGTTGATCTCCCTTATGGTTGTAAACCTTTAGGATGCAAGTGGATCCTAAAGAAAAAATATAAAGCTGATGGATCGATTGATAAGTTTAAAGCACGTTTGGTGGTCAAAGGCTTTAAACAAAAGGAAGGGTATGATTTCTTTGATACCTATTCACCTGTTACGCGTTTAGCGTCGATAAGAGTGCTTCTCTCGATTGCTGCTTTGCACAATCTTGAGATTCACCAAATGGATGTCAAGATGACATTTTTGAATGGTGAATTGGAAGAAGAAATATACATGGAACAACCTGAAGGGTTTGTTGCACCTGGACAAGAGAGAAAGGTGTGTAGATTGATCAAATCCTTGTACGGACTGAAACAAGCTACGAAACAATGGTATTTGAAATTTGATGACGTGATGTTGACAAATGATTTCAAAATCAATGAATGTGATAAATGTGTTTATGTCAAGGGTACATCAAATACATTTGTGATTGTATGTCTATATATAGAAGATATGTTGATCATGGGGAGTAGCCATGAAGTGATCATGGATACAAAAAGAATGTTGAAAAGAAATTTCGACATGAAAGATATGGGTTTGGCTGATGTTATTCTTGGAATAAGGATTATCAGAACCCAAGATGGAATTGTCTTGTCACAATCTCATTATGTAGAGAAAGTGCTCAAGAAATTTGATACCTATGACGGTGCACAGTCTAGGTGTAAGACACCCCTTGATCTCAGTATAAATCTGGAAGTCAACAAAGGTCAACCAGTGGCTCAGTTGGAATATTCACGGATAATAGGGAGTCTGATGTACTTGACAAATTGTACATGACCGGACTTGGCCTATCCGGTGAATAAGTTGAGCAGATTTACGAGCAATCCCAGTCATGAGCACTGGAATGCTTTGAGAAGGGTACTTAAGTACTTGAGGTACACCCTTGAATATGGGCTAAAATACTCGAGATATCCAGCCGTACTTGAAGGGTACTGTGATGCAAGCTGGATATAAGATTCGAGAGATTCTCGCTCCACTAGCGGTTATGTTTTCTGTATTGGAGGAGGTGCAGTTTCGTGGAAATCCACAAAACAAACCTATATAGCTCAGTCAACGATGGAATCAGAGTTCATCGCTTTAGATAAAGCTGGTGAAGAAGTCGAGTGGTTTAGAAATTTTTTATCTGATATTCCATGTTGGGATAAGACTTTGCCGCCTGTAATGATTCACTGTGATAGCCAAGCTGCTATAGGTAGGGCGCAAAGCAACTTGTATAACGGTAAGTCAAGACATATTCGTCGTAGACATAATACCGTCCGTCAATTGATCACAAATGGTGTTATTTCCATTGACTATGTGAAGTCTAAGGAAAATTTGGCTGATCCTTTGACGAAAGGATTGAATAGAGACCAATTGGCAGTTTTGCTAGAGGGAATGGGCTTAAAAATCCACAATGTAAAGAATGATCATAGTGGTAACCCTACCATGCTGAGTGGAGATCCCACGAAATTGGTTCAAAGGGAAAACTAAGCTATGAAAATTCAGTTGAGCACTTGGAACATATGAATGTCCAAAGCTATTCCCTAGAGCACCCCAAGTGAAAGATGATCTGTTGATTGTGGTGAGGGTAAGTCATATGGACTTTTAATGAATCCCTAACCTTGTAAAGGTGGAGTAAGACAGGATACTCTTGATAGGGAGGTCACCTATATAAGTGTGAAGTGTGGGGCGCTTCAAATGTAAACACTTATGAATCCATTGTGTTGTCCATGGCCAAAACGGACACAACGATAGAACGGAATGGAGTTAAGACTCTATTGTGTGAATGTCATTGTCTCGGTGTACACTATGGAGGAATAGTTCAAGGCATTATGTTCACTAGGCCGCCAGTACATCCGATGATGTTTACTAAGAAAGGTTCAAAGCCAAAAGCTACCTTTTCTGATGCAATAGATTTTTGTGAGGATTGAGCACAAGAATATGCACACATTAAATTTTCACTCATGTGGGGGATTGTAATAATTGAGTGAAATATTTAATAGAATGAGACCCACCCATGTGCACTATCTACTCAAATTGGCATCTGCACATGAAATTGGCATTGTACATGGGTCATTTGGAATCAATTCTGAATTGCTTATACCGATCCCATACTGCCAACTACATACGCGTGAAGACAGTTGGCTACCACTTGATCAATTGATTCCTTCATTTTGCCTATAAATAGAAGCCTCGGCAGAAGGAGGAGAGGACACACCAAATAAGGAAGAAAGAAAGAGAGAAGAAATAAAGAGAAAGGAAAGAAAATATAGATTTATGTCAAATATCGGATATAAAAATATCAAAAGAGAAGAAACAAGTGATATTTTTATTTGTTTTATGATATTCCTTTTATTTTTAAGTGCTCAATTCTCGACTTCGTACCCGTTCGCCGGAGCTCGTAAATCTGGTGTGCTACAGATTTAGAGACGTTTGCCGTTGTACCTTTGGGGAAGTTACGCCTGAACTGTTAGCTGCCACACGGGGCATATTCTTCTTGCGGAAAGAGTTTTACTCGCCTCGACTAAAATCTTTCCGTTTTTTCAGTTGTAATTTATTTTTCAGTTATTTTTCAGTTCAATTGCAATTTTAATTTTTTTTTTATTTTTAGAATATTTGTAAGAACTGAAAAATACATATCAGTTCGTAAGATTCCCGTGTAATTTCACAAGAAATATCCAACACAAATGTCTCCACCAACACCAACTCTGCCGTCTTGGCAGCCATTGCGGTCGTGGCCGTGGTGGTGCCAGTGGCGGATAGGGCCCGCGCCTTCTTTGTGTTCGGCGACTCCTTGGTGAACAATGGCAATAACAACTATTTAGCCACCACCGCCAGGGCCGACTCTCCACCCTACGGCATTGACTATCCTACTCACCGCCCCACGGGCCGCTTCTCCAATGGATATAATATCCCCGATCTCATAAGTATATATTTTCCTTCATTTGTTGCAAATTTTTACCCTTCACAAATACTAATGTCATATAGGATATACACTTTAACATAATGCATATTACACATGTGACAAATTGTTTTTTTTTTTTTTTTTTCACATTACATCATCATCTTCAAATGAATTTATCAATAATCACTAAATTTATGCAATCATCTTATGTCTGACTTTTGTTATGTTGAAATTGCATTTATCTATATTTAATTAATCCTAAATCATCTCTATTAAAATATTCGCGTGTGAGTCGTCCCACTTCATTTATCTAGCCCGTTTCTAGTAGGACTTGGGCTCCCGGCTCCGTACTTGGCTATTTCATAAGTCTAATGACTATTCCTCCTTCCACCAATTGGTTTTGGGATGAAACCTCACTTGAGATTCATTTGGTTTTCCTGTTTTGATACGCTTCATCTGCGTGGGACCGTATTCGTTTTTTCTCCCGTTTTCTTGCAATCTCGATATCTCATTTTTATAATTTATAATTGCATGCATCCAAAATTAAATATTTGATGTAGGGAAAGCGTACGAGTGAGATAGATAAACGAGTAAACGAGATACTCTCTCGTAAAACACGTAAAATTCAATAATATCTTTTATTCATTTAAACTCAATCATTTCATAACAAAGCAGAAGAGTCCTTTATATAAGGCTCATACGCCCTATTCTTAACTTGTCCAACAAGACAAGATCCTATAATAATATCTGAGCCTAACTTATTCTCCAAGATAAATAATAATAATAATAATAATAATAATAATAATAATAATAATAATAATAATAATAATAATAATAATAATAATAATAATAATAATAATAGCAATAATAATAATACTAATATTATTCTACACCAATATTTATCCAAGACTTTTGTAGTTCAGTTCACATTGTTATTATCTTTTTCTTCTGCTTCTTCTTCTTTTTTTAATCCTTTAATTAACTTCTTTCTCAATGAATTAAAACTGAAAACAAATGTGATGATGTTATTAGGTCAAGCACTACGTGCAGAATCAACATTGGCGTACTTGAACCCTGAGCTTCAAGGGGAGAAACTGCTTGTTGGAGCAAATTTTGCATCTGCAGGAATTGGAATTCTTAGTGACACCGGCATTCAATTTGTAATGTCACTCTACTTAATTTCTATATATTTCTTATGTAAATATGGGAAAATGCTACGCATGTCTCGTTACGGAATAATTCGCCGAGGTTCGTAATCGTTCGATCAACTATCCGACGGAATGGTTTCGTAACGGGAGCTTACCATTTCTCATTAATATGATACTTTTAATTAAATATATATACATATATATATATATATATATATAGTTAGTAGTTCTGCAACTAACAAATTTGACTAATTTTGTGAAAATAATACAAAATTAGTCAAATAATCGGCACATGCATCATCATATCATGCCCACGTATTCCATTAAATTTGTAAATAATTTTTTTCTCCAAATTAAAATTGTTTTATAATAGTGGAACTATTATTAATTTTTTATTTTGTATATTACATATAAAAAACTATATATATTTCATACACTTCTATATTTTTTTTAAAAAAAAAAATATATATATATTTTTCAGAATTTCCCTGTCAATCTTGTGAAACCTTGATAAGTATAGGTATCTAACCCAATGTTTTGCATGCCATCATCAGGTGGTCCACTTTATTGACTTTTAGAGTGCCTGCAATTAATTAATTTTATGAATTATATTATCTATTTTTTCCACATATATAAATATAAAAAACAAAAAAGGGCATTCGTGGGTCAGTGGGTGGACCCAACTGACTACAAAAGAGCAGCAGAGGAAAAAAATGAAAATAACCCATAATTAAATAAGAGAAATATTATCAGATTTTGTAATCATTAGATCATCATGTAACTGTCGGGATAGATGATCTAATGGTTACAAACCGCGACGAAATGATTTCGTAACAACTGTAGTATTTTCAATATTAATTAAAAATTTAAAAAAAAAAAAATGTCGGCAGGCAAACATAATACGAATCAACAGTCAGTTGGAATTTTTCAAACAGTACCAAAGCCGAGTAAGTGTAATTATTGACGACGAGCCGGCAGTGTCGCTCGTAAACGGGGCTCTGGTGCTAATCACTTTGGGAGGAAATGACTATGTCAACAATTATTTCTTAACACCAATCACTTTCAGAAGACTTCAATACAATCTTCAAGATTTTTCCCACCTCCTCATCTATGAGTACCGCAAAATTTTGCAGGTATTTTATTATTTTTACTAATTAAATACGTTGTTTGGTAGACAAATAATTAGCTTATAGATTATTTAGTTAGCTTATAACGAATATTTTGAGCTTATTTGATAAGCATCTTTTTGTAGCTTTTCAAACAAGCTTGTTGAAAGTTTTATTTCAGCTAGCTTAATTATAAGCTAATTTTATCAAACGTTTTTATCATATAAGCTGACTTTTCAACTATAAGTCATAAGTTATAAGCTCAAAAATAATTGAAAAATTATAATTATGTTTGGTAAAATTAGCTGATAAACTAGCTGATACGCTAGCTTATGAGTAATCTTCGAGCTTATAGCTTATATCTTATGACTTATAACTGAAAAATTAACTTATATGATAAAAGTGTTCGATAAAATTAGATGATAAACTAGTTGAAATAAACATTTCAACGGTCTCATTTGAAAATCTAGCTACATAAGCTTATGAGATAAGCTCGTCCTACCGAACGGAACTGATTTGAATACATAAAACTTATAAGCTAACCAAATAAGCTATAAGCTAGCTTATTGGCCTACCAAACATAACTTATAACTAGGGGTGAGCATCGGTCGGTTCGGTCCGAAAACCGAACCGAACCGAAAAAACCGAAAACCGAATTTGTATTATAATATGAAACCGAACCGAACCGAATAATCTTTAATAACCAAACTAAAACCGAACCGAAATTATCGGTTCGGTTTGGTTTTAAAACTGAAAACCGAAATTATACATAAGTTCACAACATATGTTCCAAAACATAATATTTTTTATCACAAGTTCACAAATCACATCAACCATAAAAATGCAACCAAATTACCAGTCTCATAACTCACAAGTCACATCAAAAATTAAAAAACAACACTGAAAGTTTGAAAGACTAAAACTATTAATTCTAAAACAAAACCCAACATAAAGCAGCATTAGCATCCAATGAAAGTGAAAGTAGCAGCAGCCCCCAGCAGTACAACACCACCAATAGCAAAACACCATGTCACCAACACTGCAACACACAAATCCAAAAACAATATAGCACCATCAAGTAAAAAACAGTGAAAGACTGAAAGTAGCAGCAGCTAGCAGGCCAACAACAAAGGAGCACAACAGAGTACAGATGATGAACAAACACAATCACACAATACCAAGTCACCAACAGGCAGCAATGGACTGAAAGGGGCAACACTGCAGCAGGTAACAAACTTAGACGCCTGCGTTTAATAATGATGGCCCGATACCCACATTTGGTAACTCTACAACATAAAATAAAATGCAAGAATTTATTACGATATCGAAAATCAAGAATTAGAAAATAAATAAACAAATAAACTTAAATAAATTACCTTTGTCAAAGTTTTCAATCTCATCTTGTAGTTCTTCAACACTTAAAGGATTATTTGACTCTCGAAGCCAATCTTGTGCGCATATCAACGCTTCAACAATCTTTGGAGTCAATGAACTCCTAAATGCATTAAGAACCCTTCCACCAGTACTAAATGCAGATTCTGAAGCCACAGTTGAAATTGGAACTCCTAAAATATCACGTGCCAATCGCGAAAGGACGGGAAATCTTCCAGAATTAATTTTCCACCACTTCAAAACATCAAGATCCTCAGAATCCTCTAAAACATCCTCATCCAAGTAAACTTGTAGTTCATTTTTTTTTGTTCGGCCACTTCCACTCTCCAATTTCTGTTTCATAATTCTAGCTTTCAAGACGTTCATTGGCTTCTTCGTAACTTTTTTAGAAATAGAATCATCAATCACTGTAGAACTAGAGCTCACTCGATTATGATCTTCAACATTGGGTTGATATTTTTTTCTCATATTCTCTAAACAACTCAAAGAGACCATTTTTAACACTTTCAAACAGTTCAACTCCTTCATCAGCCCCGTACATCTCGCTAAGAGAGTCCTCCATGAACTCAAATTTATCACGAGGATCAAAAACAGTTGCCCAAAAGATTATTTTGTTCATGCTCTCCGAATCCCCCCAATATTTATCAAATTTTGATTTCATTGATGTTCCCAAGTCTTTGATTTCACAATCATCACTCCCTTTCCATTCATTCAAAATGCAACACAAATTGCTAATCTCATTAAAAAATGTATGAGAAGTAACATATAATGAACCCGAAATGCGCAATGTCATCTCATAAAAATGTTTCAATAAATCTGAATTTTTTTTAACACAAGACCAATCAAAAGACGTCGGAGCCCCATGTTTAACTAAATCAGTAGAAAAGTTTCTATCTTGCTCTTCGAATCGCTCAAATGCCTTTTCAAACTTTGCAGCTGTTTTTAACATTAAATACGTAGAATTCCACCTTGTAGCCACATCTAGACATAAAAAGCTCTTACTCTCGATACCTTCCAATTCAACACAATCTTTGAAGTTTTTAATTCTAGCAGGTGAATTTCGAATATATCTTACGGCTTCTCTCACTCGCTTCACTGAAGGTTTGATATCTTTTAGGACTTCGGTAACAACCAAATTAATTATATGTGCAATACACCTCATATGAAGGAACTTACAATTAGCCACATTACCACCCCAATTCACCATTCTCCTCTTTAAGAAAGCAATAGCTACATCATTTGAACTTGCATTATCTACAGTGATCGTGAAAATATTCTTTAATTCCCAATCGAGAACACAAGTTTCTATCGCCTTCCCAATGTATTCACCTTTGTGACTCGTAACAGGCACAAAATTGAGAATTTTTTTATGTAAGTTCCAGTCATTATCAATGAAATGAGCTGTGATGCACACATAATTAATTTTCTGAATAGAAGTCCATGTATCAGTTGTCAGACTGACTCTTTGGCAATTATTTTTCATAAAATGCTTCAACTTTATTCTCTCATCAGCATACAATTGAAAACAATCTCTAGACATAGTCCATCTTAATGAAATTTTAAATCTAGGACAAGCTTTAGACATGACTCGACGGAATCCATCTCCTTCAACAAACTTGAATGGTAATTCATCAACAATGACCATGTATGCAACAACTTTTCGAATTTCATCCTGATCAAATTTCCAAGTAGAAAGTGTACTCTTACCATCATTACCAGGATTACATGGTTGCAAATTTAACACTGTTTGTCCAGGTTCAGACTTTGTATTCCCTTTACATACAGTCATATGTTGTTTTAAAGATGACGTCCCATTTCTTTTGGAATGCCAAGAATAAACCTTATCACAAGAATTGCACTTAGCTTAAATTAGATTACCATTCTCATCCTCTGTCTTTGTGAAGTATGACCAAACAATTGATCTTGGTTTCATGCGCTTTCTCTTTTTTTCCTTTTTCAGCATCACTTTTGTTTGAATCTACATCAGCACCCTCAGCTTTGTTATTGGCATTTGAGGTTTCAGAGTTTGCCATATGTTCATCAGCACCCTCAGATGGTTCCATTTTTCAGTCTTCACTTGAATCACTTCTTCAGTATGCAAGAAAAACAGAAAAAGATAAAAAATAAGCAACATATATGACATGAGAAATGAGATTGACTGAATGAGGGAGGCTACTTAACAACATAACAACAGAAAATAAAAATAAACAACATAGAGTAATTATTAGTTTTCACTTATCAACATAGTGAATTAACAGAAAAAAGATTGAAGCATTTTTATGCTTCAATAATCAATATTATGTTGTTAATTATCAGAAAAAAAAATTCTGAAATTTTCTTCACAGTTCAACACAAAGACTGAGAGAGTCAGATGAAAGGAGAGAGAGACCAATTGAAGCAGCACAATTTTCTGAAATCAAATTGAATCAGCTTCAATAAACAACACAGTTCACACTTCACACACTACATACACACAACATAAACTCAAATTTAATTAATTTTTTGACCAATTTTGTCAGAAAGCATAAACTGAAATTTCCTTTTGATAACATCACAAGGTCTGAATATATTTAGGGTTATTGTTAGTAGAAAAAAAATAAAGAAATAGAATCTGTTGCGAGATATAGAATCGGAATTCGCCAATTCGGAGTATTACTCACAGAGAGGTCAAGAGCAGAGAGAGAGGTAGATCATAGATGTTCGACTTCGAACAGATATTGATCGCTGCCCGTCGCGGCGAGCCGGCGAGGCTGAGACTTGAGAGAAGAATGAGATGAGAGAGAGAGAGAGAGAGAGAGAGAGAGAGAGAGAGAGAGAGCGGCTGCGAAATTGTGTTTGTGTGTGTGAGACAAATTTAGAATTTCAGATTAGGTTTAGAAAATGAGTACATGACCGCTACTATTAAAGTTAGTAACATAAATTCGGTTCGGTTAAATCGAATTTATTTTTTCAAAAACCGAACCGAACCGAATAAACCGATGTTTTAAAAAAATGAAACCGAACCGAATTAAAAAATAAAAAAACCGAACCGAACAATACTATTCGGTTCGGTTCGGTCGGTTTTTTCGGTTTTATCCGAATAATGCTCACCCCTACTTATAACTAGTTGATCAGCTAGTTTTACCAGCCATGACATAATGTGCATAATTTGTTGTTGTAAGAAGAATTAAAAAAATAAAAATATAAAAAAATTGAAAGTTGATCAAAATGATTTGATCACAGAGGCTATATGAATTGGGGGCCCGACAGGTCCTAGTCACGGGCACGGGCCCGCTCGGTTGCGTGCCCGCGGAGCTGGCGACGAAGAGCAGGAACGGAGAATGTGCGGAGGAGCCTCAGCGGGCAGCTGCCATATTCAACCCGTTGCTCGTTCAAATGATCGCAGGGCTTAACCAAGAAATCGGGTCCAACGTTTTTGTGACGGCTAATACAATGCAAATGCAGAACGATTTCATCAACAATCTGCAGGCCTACGGTACTCCACAATCACTAATTTTTATTTTTATTAAATAAAATCAATTATTATTTGTGTCAAATCATTGTTGAATTATTATTTTTTTTATCAGGATTTGTTGTTAGTGTTATTTTTGTTATGTTTTTATTAATATTTTTTATTATTATTTTTTTATATATTTTTAGTAATTTTGTGGGATTTTGGGTAGTTTTTAGTTTCTTTGAGTAATTTGTAATATTTAAGTATTTGTGTGGATTTTTGTATATTTTCTTGTATTTTTCAAGTATTTGTAAAATAAAGAAACGGTCAAAAATCTCGGAAGAGCAGGATTTTGGAAATTTATTGGCTTGATCATATTATTGGAAAGAGGAGCTCGTTAGCAACATACAGGAAAAAGCGGAAATCGATTTCGAGTTCGGACGAGCCCAAACGAGCCCAAAACGTGAAGCCGAGCAGTGCAATCCGCGAGAATTTTCTGCGCTCGGAAGTTGCGGCCGTGGACCCTTTAGTTTGCAGAATTTTTCTTTTTCTGGTTTTTTCTTCCCTTTTCTTCCATTTTTTTTCTTTGGTAGTTAAATTGTGGTTGATTTTTAGGTGAATAGTGGTTGATGTTGGACCGTTGGTGAAGTGTGTTTGATTATATTTCTATAAATAGCTAGATCATCCATCATTCAAGGGGGCGGGGGGAAACATTTTCTATGTAATTCACTATCATTTTATCTTTCTATATGTATTACATTTGTAAGTTGATATTGGTAAGTTTGAATTGTTGGAGAGTGTTGAAAGGACATTAAGTTTGCATTTACTCTGTGGATTGATCGTCAATAGTAAGTTTTCTTTTCATTTATGTTATCAATGGCTTATATCCATAAGAATTTGTATGTTAAAATTACTATGAGTAACTAATCTCCTAACTAGGGTTAGGGGATAATCGTTTCGGTTTATTACTATTTATAGGTATTTTTATTACTCAATCTTTATAAATTTTATTAATCTCATTTTGTTTGCAATATTTTTGGGCAAGTAGTAACCGAGTTACCCGACTCGGTTTTGAAATCGATTATGTAGATTAAAATGGTGATCAATCATTTAACCATAAGATTAATAAAATTTATAAAGATTGAGTAATAAAAATACTTATAAATAGTAATAAACCGAAACGATTATCCCCTAACCCTAGTTAGGAGATTAGTTACTCATAGTAATTTTAACATACAAATTCTTATGGATATAAGCCATTGATAACATAAATGAAAAGAAAACTTACTATTGACGATCAATCCACAAAGCAAATGCAAACTTAATGTCCTTTAACTTCAACACTCTCCAACAATTTAAACTTACCAATATCAACTTACAAATGTAATACATATAGAAAGATAAAATGATAGTGAATTACATAGAAAATGTTTTCCCCCGCCCCCTTGAATGATGGATGATCT